CACACACTCTCACTCACACAGTGGCCTAGCAGGAAGACATAAGGCCTACTAGTAGCTCTCTCGTGGGATGGCCCTCCCGGGCCATGGGCACAACACACAAGCCTGTGTACCCACCACGACTTAACAATGAAGTAAGAAGCCTCCGAAGACATATCATTAACCACCCACTTTCAGCTCTACCAAATAATCTAGTTATATTTTAAGACGAGGTATGATAAAGCTCATGGAGCAGGGGGAGAGAAGACCTAGTAGTGGTCGGTGAAGAGGTGGGGACAGGAGCTGAGTCTCGACCCCTGCAACCACAATTGGGTGAATTAGTTGAGTACACATCTACCTAAATATCCCCTCCTATATATCTGAACACATCTACCTACACATCCCCTAATATATATCTACAAACATCTATCTACACATACCTTTATATCTAAACACATCTACCTATACATCCCCTAATATATATCTACACGTATCTACATACACATCCCCTCCTCTATATGTACGTGATAATATATACAGTGCACCCTTGGCTTTCGAGATTAATCCATTCCAGAGAGTCTGCCGAAAACCGAAATTCACGAAAATCGAAACCATTTTCCCCATGAGAAATAATGTAAATCTAATTAATCCATTCCAGACACCCAAAAGTATTAACAAAAAATAATTTTTTTAGAGATTAAATATACGTGTAGATTTACATACGGAAAAGAATGGCAAATCAATATAAAGCACTTACCTTTAATGAAGACTCTTGTTGGTGGATGGAAGATGGGAGGAAAAGCTACTTTTGTTTGAAAGGGGAATTCCCTTCCATAAAGACTCTAGGTACTGAATCCTTATGCAGGGTTACTTCCCTTCTTTGTTTGTTAACCCTTTCAGGGTCGAGAGGCCCTCTCTGAAACTCGTTCTCAGGGTCAAAAATTTTTCGGAAAAAAAAAATTATTTTTTCTTATGAAAAGATGGAGAATCTTTTCCCAATCATAATGACACCAAAAGTATGAAATTTGATGGAAAACTTACAGAATTATGCTCTTGCAAAGTTAGCGGCATTGACGATGTTTACGCATCGGCAATTTCGTCCACTTTGAGCCCCATTTTTGGCCAATTTCAGTGTACTAGTCGACAAAAATCATAACTATTTCGCTAGAACTCCATTTTTTTCTAACGAATGACTAAAAGAAACCACCCATTTACCAATTTCAACTATCCAATAAAGTGGTCAGAAATTAGCAATTTTGCCAATTTCACAGAAATTTCAAAAGATGCCACTTTCCAAATAGGGTCCAGAATAAACAAGACAGACATTCCTGGCACTAAAATAACATTTCCTCTGTTCATTAGTCACGTCCCCACGCCCCTCTTACATTTCTTTTCCTTTCCACTTTGAATTTTTATTCTCACAAAAAAATAGAAGATTTACTGTTATGCAGACTAATGCATTAATGTAGAAATGGTATAACTAATATCAGCGCACTTGTGAAAGAATGTTAGACTCACCAGTATTGGACGTGTGGCATGATTTGTTTACTTTTGAACTTTGGCAAAAATCGAACATTTCTGCTACTTCGAGCTCAATTTCAAGGTACTTTTCATTGTAAAACCAGTCAAAATCATCTCAATTTCTGTAATATATCTTCCTTTCTATAAAATGAGATCAGGAAAACTAGAATACAACCATAAATACCATACAAAAATACAGTGCAAAGTCATTGTTTTAACCAAAAACACGGTCAAAGTTTTTTTTTCTCATTACGCACTGTGTGCTGCAGAATTTTTTTTTATACTGGGCACACTGACCACATAGACCCATTCTTTCATATGTAGGCCTACCAGCCTTCTCTTGCTAGATTTGAAGGTGCGTAAGCCGTACTAGTACGTCGGAAACCCTGAAAGGGTAAATGGCACTAGGACCAGCATGAGTCACTGGACCCCTGTCGCTCAAAAAATTGTTCCGGAGAGCTCTGTTTCTAACATTTCTTTAAGATTTGCCTAAAATGGGACAAGGCATTGTCATTGAACATGTCACAGACATGGCATACAACAGCTTTGTTAGGGTGATGTTCCTCCACAAAAGTTTGCACCTCATTCCATTTTGCACAAATGTCCTTAATCACTTAAGAAGCCACATTCTTCCATCTCTCTTCCTCCTCTGAAGCAATTTCCTCAGCTGTGGTCTGTTGCTGTTGCAAATGAAGCTCTTGCAGCTCTTCAGTGGTTAGCTCTTCCCTCTGGTCCTTCACCAACTCTTCCACATCCTGGCCACTCACATCCAACCCCATGGAATTCCCGAATGTCACAATACATTCCACAACCTTCTTTGCCAGGAGCATTCTTTGGCCCCTTGGTGGCTTTTTAAGCAGTTGCAAGCACAAAAAAACTATGGATTATTATGAAAGGTTTCATATGAACGTGGGGGGTGATGCTCACTCACTGAAAAACAATGCCAGACTGACTGAATGTGTCTGTGGGAGGCTCTGTGTGCGCGGGGCCACTGGGACACGGTCCGTACGACCACCAAAATCCAAGGGAAATCACGAAAATCAATGCTATATTTTGACTAAATAAGTTGCTGATAACCAAAATTCATGAAAACTGAGACTCACAGAAACCAAGGGTCCAATGTACCTGGAAAGTACTCGAGGGCCTGGTCCCAAATCCTTTTACAGCTTTCACCAACTGCATCACTTTCAAAGGAGAACGCCATAAGCCCATCACCTTGCACTTGCGCAAACCTAATTGCTTCTGCCTGGCGAGGAAATATTTTCCAGGTGGTTGGTGGGCTACGAATTTCTGGGTAAAGGCAAAGGCCTCTGTTCCATATGCTTAGTAGCTTTAGCCACATGAAAAATTTGATTCTGAATTTTACTGTTATATGTTGGTTATGCTTTGCCATAGAAGCCAGCAATGCTGAATGTGGTGGCTACAGCTTCCTTTCGTGTGCTCGTCTTCATTCCTCAGAAGGCTCTAAAAATAATCTCTGATGTACAAGTACTCTTCTAGCACAGTAACTTGAATTTAACCTTAAAGTAAAGGAAATGTTCAATTTTTGCCTATGTTTAAGAGTAAACAAATCACATCATGCGTCCAATACATGTCAACTGGTGGGTCTAATGTGAGTTCATAAATGCACTGATATTATTTATACAATTATTGCAATATTGCACAAAAGTAAATCTTATATTTTCTGGTGTGGCTAAAAATTTTTTTGTGAATAAAAAATCAAAATAGAATTCATGTGTAAAGCCTGGAAACATAACTAATAAATAGAGGAAATGTTATTTTAGTGCCAGAAATGCCTGCATTATTTATTCTGGACTCTATTTTGAAAATGGAATATTTTGAAATTTGTGTGAAATTGACCAAAATTACCAATTTCTGATCACTTTACTTGGAGGAGGGGTATTAATGTTGCAGTTTAAAAACTGTAGTGTAAAGCACCCTTCTGGCAAGACAGTGATGGAGTGAATGATGGTGAAAGTTTTTCTTTTTCGGGCCACCCTGCCTTGGTGGGAATCGGCCAGTGTGATAAAAAAAAAAAAAAAATTTACTTGAAAGTTAAAATAGTTGAATGGATAATTTCTTGTGCTCAATCAATAAAATAGTTAAGAAAATGGTTGACTGGAGCAACATCATTGGCCTAAAATAGGAGTCATAGTGGGCAAAATCACAGATGCATGAATATCACTGACACAGCAAAATTCGTAAAAGCGTAATTTTGTCCATTTTCCATCAAATTTTGTACTTTTTGTTTTATTACCTCCAGAAAAAGGTTCTCTACCATTTCATAAGAAATAATAAAAATTTTTGTTTTAAATTCTTGGACCCACGGGGAATTTTCAGATTGGAGTCTGGACCCTCCAGGGGGTAACACCACCTCATGACTTCATCATTTTTAACAACATCTCATGACTGCATCATTTTCAACACCTCATGACTGCATCATTTTTAACAACACCTCATGACTGCATAATTTTCAACACCATCTCATGACTGCATCATTTTTGCCACCACCTCATGATCACATCATTTTTGCCACCACCTCATGATTGCATCGTTTTCACCACCACCTTATTTGTTTTCTTTTAACAAACCATCCGTATCCTACCAAAGCATGTAACTCAAAAAGAAAAACGAAAGTCTTTCTTTTTAAATTTAGTAATTTATTCAGGAAAAAGGGTTACTAGCCCCTTGCTCTCACCATTTAGTCGCCTCTCATGACACGCATGGCTTACGGAAAAAGAATTCTTTCCCACTTCCCGATGGAGACACCACCTCAAGATCACAGAATTTTTAACCCTTTCAGTGACTGTCATGTAGATCCAAATTAATGAAGCCAAGGTCCCTCACATAGATCTACACAAATTCTAGCGGCTTCAAATTAGGCGTGAGAGGCCTGGGTCTGGGTCTGGGAGGTCAGTGTGTGCAGTATACAAAAAATCGAGGCCCCTGCTAAATATGTGGCAATGCCATATTTAGTACGCTTTGCTCACTATGCTGTGCAAGCACAAAGGCCTCACTCCCAGGAAAACTGAACAAGTTTTATTCTCCAGTGACAGATAGAATAATGAGAATTACAGAACCAACAATAAGTTCTTTGGTTTTAAACGTATAATGACTGAAAGTGATGCTCAGGAGGCAGAAATATCGCTGCAAGATGATCACATTTGAAGAATGGTGATCACTTCCAAATAACACTTCCTGCTACACAAAACAGGGTGCCCACCAAAGCACAGAGACACACACTTTATGTGTAGAGATATGTAAAACACTGCTGCTTATGGAGCCGTAATAGTTCTAGAAACATAACCAGTGTCTGTATATATGTACATAAATGTTAGAACAGTAGTAATGTGAAACATTTGTACATGTGTGCATTTACACTGTGTAAACAAGCTAAAATAAAATAAGACAGGTGAATAATATTGTAAGTTGAATAATCAATCACCAGATAATAATGATCTACTGTAATACAATAACAGAAATAGAGTCTTGTGTGTCCTCACCTCTCAATGATATCTCCTTGACGGAGCTCAGTGGCTGTTCTTTCTCTGTGGACGTATCTCAGGGACTTCTTGATGCCTGGGGTGGACCTGGGCTCCACAAAGAGAGCTCCAGGATGAACATCAGGACCATTCCTCACCAGCTGTCTCATCAGATTGATGTTATGTGCTGTAATCTTCTCAGGATATGTCAGCTGTTTAGCCACCTCAACAGGAACACCAACCTACACAATCATGCAGACATTTAAAAATTTACATGAAGTATGATTTATCATAACTAAATAGTTTTAATTAAGGATAAATATTATAAAAAAATATGGAAAAATTGAAAGAAATATGCAAAATGTTCCAAAGAACAGTAGAGAGTAACATTATGTTCAATGGTGACAAATTCCAATTGTTCGGGTATGGTAAGAATGAGGAATATAAAACTCAGGAGGACCACCTAGAAGAATAAAAGGAACATGCAAAAGACCTGAGTTTAACAGATGACCTATGTTTAAAAAGAACACAATAAGGCAAATGCCATGGAAGCCAGAAAAATGATGGGGTCGATAATGAGACCTTTCAAAATAAAAGAAATAATGCTAATGATGGCACTATTTAAAAAGTGCTCTTTCACTTACAAACTTTTACAGCTTGCATGTGTACTGTCTGACACAAGAGAGAGATATACAGTAGATTCATAGTTTGTGTAACTAACTCATGTTTCGATAACTCGCTACTTAAATATCACCACGTCCCAAAGTTGCTTTGATATGAGGCAAGATAATTCCTCTCTAAGCTTTGGATGAGTCAATTGTTTCAGAAAGAGACCTAGCATCACTCCTTGGTATAAACACCCATCCACTGGTCATTTGCTTTCTGAGTGTATCCAATACCATACTCTCATGTTTTTCAATCTACTTTTAATTTTTTCATCACCACATCTTGTCTATGGATAATAACCATGACATCCAAGAGGAACACTAGTGAAGTTTAAAGTGCCAAGAAAGTTAAGTGTGACACTGTGATTATTTCAAAGAAATTAAATGCAACTAATATACTGTTGGGAGGCAGTAATATACTGCCCCTTAACCCTTTGGGGGTTTCAGACGTACTAGTACGTCTTACGACCCAGGGTTTTTGACGTACTAGTACGCCTAAATTCTAGCGCCCTCAAATCTAGTGAGAGAAAGCTGGTAGGCTTACATATGTAAGAATGGGTCTATGTGGTCAGTGTGCGCAGTATAAAAAAAATCCTGCAGCACACAGTGCGTAATGAGAAAAATAATTTGAACGTGTTTTTGGATTAAAACAGCGACTTTGCACTGCATTTTCGTATGGTATTTATTGTTGCATTCTAGTTTTCTTGGTCTCATTTTATAGAATGGAAGACATATTACACAAATTGAGATGATATTGACTGATTTTACAATGAAAAGTACCTTGAAATTGAGCTCAAAGTAGCAGAAATGTTTGATTTTTACCAAAGTTCAAAAGTAAACAAATCATGCCAAGCGTCCAATACACATCAACTGGGGAGTCTAATATTCTTTCACAAGTGTGCTGATATTATTTATACCATTTCTACACTAATGCAGTAGTCTGCATAACAGTAAATCTTATTTTTTTGTAAGAATAAAAACTCAAAGTGGAAAGCCAAAGAAATATAAGAGGGGCCTGGGGATGTGACTAACGAACAGAGAACTTGTTATTTTAGTGCCAGGAATGTCTTTCTCGTTTATTCTGGACCCTATTCGGAAATTGGCATCTTTTGAAATTTGTGTAAAATTGGCAAAGTTGCTAAATTCTGACCACTTTATTGGATAGTTGAAATCGGTAAATGGGTGGTTTCTTGTACTCATTCGATAGAAAAAATGGAGTTTTAGTGAAATAGTTATGATTTTTGTCGACTAGTACACTGGAATTGGCCGAAAATTGGGCTCAAACTGGGCAAAAATCGCCGATGCGTAAACATCGTCGAGACCGCTAACTTCGTTAGAGCATAATTCCATAAGTTTTCCATCAAATTTCATACTTTTGGTGTCATTATGATCGGGAAAAGATACTCTATCTTTTCATAAGAAAAAATTTTTTTTTTTGAAATTTGGCCGACCCTGAGAACAAGTCTCTGAGAGTATCTGTCGACCCCCAAAGGGTTAGGGGGCAGCATATTACAGCGCACACTGACCACACAGACCCATTCTCTCACATGTGAGCCTACCAGCTTTCTCTCGCTTGATTTGAAGCCACTAGAATTTTTGAGTAAATATACGTCTGAAACACTGGCTCCTAAGACATATATATACGGCCGAAACAGTCAACGGGTTAATTAACATAAATATGAGATGTTGTAGCCAGATGACTTGTACGAGTGATGGCAATAACATTTTCTCTAGTCTAACATAAGAGAAAATGTGTTACTCGGGGTAACCGTAGAAAATTATTCCTTTCATATGCCTTCACTCAGAGAGCCATTTCTTCTAAAAATGGTGTTACATGAGAATGGGAGTGTTTCTCTTTATTTATTTTACCGTATCAACATAGACAACTTGTACACAATGTAACTTGTACACAAACCAGATGTGTTCGCCTGGTTTACAAAACTTGCGTACGCCTGGTTTGTTTACATAACTCTGCGCCTGTCCTCTCTCATGTATTCACTCTCTCTCTCTCTTTATCTCGTTTACTCACCTCTGACCATACATTAAGACTACAAATATTTTAAGGTAAGTAATGAGTGAACTGTATATGCATTTTATCGCTCTGGAACACATTAACCCTTAAACGGTCCAAACATATATATACGTTCTCTCGTGTAGTGCCCCAAACGTATATATACGTTTCCTTTGTCATTCATTCAACATTGGCACGATATGCCTGAGTCACCTAGACATGAGAGAATGGGTGTGTGCACTCAGTGTGTACCATATGTAAAAAATTGGGGATGCCTAGGTACCACATGCTCTTTTTTCCTAATAAAAAAAAAAAAATTCTCAAAAAATTTGGTGCGCTGTGCGAGTGAACGTATATATACGTTTGGACCATTTAAAAGTTAAATGGCATAGAATATTATGTGTGGGTAGGGTGGTCTTGTATAGTAGCCTGGCTGGCTACCATACATACCACACTTGATTTCTTACAATAAATACTACTCATCTCACCCTAGATTAAGACTACAAATATTTTAAGGTAGTAGGTTGGTAGACAGCAACCACCCAGGGAAGTACTACCGTCATGCCAGATGACTGTGAAACAGAAACCTGTAACTGTTTTGCATGATGGTAGGATTGCTGTTTTCTTTTTCTGTCTCATAAACACGCTAGATAACAGGGATATCTTGCTACTCCTACTTACACTTTAGTCACACTTCACAGACACGCACATGCATATATATATACATACATCTAGGTTTTTCTCCTTTTTCTAAATAGCTCTTGTTCTTCTTTATTTCTTCTATTGTCCATGGGGAAGTGGAAAAGAATCTTTCCTCCATAAGCCATGCGTGTCGTATGAGGCGACTAAAATGCCGGGAGCAATGGGCTAGTAACCCCTTCTCCTGTAGACATTTACTAAAAAAGAGAAGAAGAAAAACTTTATAAAACTGGGATGCTTAAATGTGCGTGGATGTAGTGCGGATGACAAGAAACAGATGATTGCTGATGTTATGAATGAAAAGAAGTTGGATGTCCTGGCCCTAAGCGAAACAAAGCTGAAGGGGGTAGGGGAGTTTCGGTGGGGGGAAATAAAGGGGATTAAATCTGGAGTATCTGAGAGAGTTAGAGCAAAGGAAGGGGTAGCAGTAATGTTGAATGATCAGTTATGGAAGGAGAAAAGAGAATATGAATGTGTAAATTCAAAAATTATGTGGATTAAAGTAAAGGTTGGATGCGAGAAGTGGGTCATAATAAGCGTGTATGCACCTGGAGAATAGAGGAATGCAGAGGAGAGAGAGAGATTTTGGGAGATGTTAAGTGAATGTATAGGAGCCTTTGAACCAAGTGAGAGAGTAATTGTGGTAGGGGACCTGAATGCTAAAGTAGGAGAAACTTTTAGAGAGGGTGTGGTAGGTAAGTTTGGGGTGCCAGGTGTAAATGATAATGGGAGCCCTTTGATTGAACTTTGTATAGAAAGGGGTTTAGTTATAGGTAATACATATTTTAAGAAAAAGAGGATAAATAAGTATACAAGATATGATGTAGGGCAAAATGACAGTAGTTTGTTGGATTATGTATTGGTAGATAAAAGACTGGTGAGTAGACTTCAGGATGTACATGTTTATAGAGAGCCCACAGATATATCAGATCACTTTCTAGTTGTAGCTACACTGAGAGTAAAAGGTAGATGGGATACAAGGAGAATAGAAGTATCAGGAAAGAGAGAGGTGAAGGTTTATAAACTAAAAGAGGAGGCAGTTAGGGTAAGATATAAACAGCTATTGGAGGATAGATGGGCTAATGAGAGCATAGGCAATGGGGTCGAAGAGGTATGGGGTAGGTTTAAAAATGTAGTGTTAGAGTGTTCAGCAGAAGTTTGTGGTTACAGGAAAGTGGGTGCGGGAGGGAAGAGGAGCGATTGGTGGAATGATGATGTAAAGAGAGTAGTAAGGAGAAAAAGTTAGCATATGAGAAGTTTTACAAAGTAGAAGTGATGCAAGGAGGGAAAGAGTATATGGAGAAAAAGAGAGAGGTTAAGAGAGTGGTGAAGCAATGTAAAAAGAGAGCAAATGAGAGAGTGGGTGAGATGTTATTCAACAAATTTTGTTGAAAATAAGAAAAAGTTTTGGAGTGAGATTAACAAGTTAAGAAAGCCTAGAGAACAAATGGATTTGTCAGTTAAAAATAGGAGAGGAGAGTTATTAAATGGAGAGTTAGAGGTATTGGGAAGATGGAGGGAATATTTTGAGGAATTGTTAAATGTTGATGAAGATAGGGAAGCTGTGATTTCGTGTATAGGACAAGGAGGAATAACATCTTGTAGGAGTGAGGAAGAGCCAGTTGTGAGTGTGGGGGAAGTTCGTGAGGCAGTAGGTAAAATGAAAGGGGGTAAGGCAGCCGGGATTGATGGGATAAAGATAGAAATGTTAAAAGCAGGTGGGGATATAGTTTTGGAGTGGTTGGTGCAATTATTTAATAAATGTATGGAAGAGGGTAAGGTACCTAGGGATTGGCAGAGAGCATGCATAGTTCCTTTGTATAAAGGCAAAGGAGATAAAAGAGTGTGCAAAAATTATAGTCTGCTG